GAGAGCAATGTGCTTCGTTCTGTGCTCCAGTCTGTGCTCCCGACACAAGGCCAGCAGGGCCTTGTTGTCTACGTAAAGTACTGGAGGAGAACGAGGCGGCTCTCCTAGGTCAATCAGCAGGTGGGTGAGCCAGCGTAACTCCTGTGCAGCCATGGCCCCCACGTAGATCTCAACCTCACAGCTGAAGCCGAGAACAGAAGACGAGCGTGTAAACCGCCACGAAACAGAGCCGGAACCAAGGCTAAAGGTGTAACCCTGTGACGATCGCTGCGTAGCCTGGTCGTCAGCCCAAGAAGCATCTGCGTGACCTGTGAGGACCACTCGACGTCGCCCTCCAAGCACTAGCCCCATGCCCGACGTACTGCACAAGTAGCGCAATACCCTCTTCGCTGCAGCCATGTGCTCTGGTCGGTGTCTCCCAGGAGCAACATAGCGTGCCAAGATGCTAAGAGGGTATGCAAGGTCAGGTCGTGTGCAGGTCATCAGGTACATGAGGCAGCCAACAAGCTCTGGGTACGGGCCACTCGGCTCTACCGACTCATCTAAAGGAGAGCGAGTGGCGAGTAGACAGAGGAGTGGGGTGAGGCGAAGAGAACGCGAAGCCGAAGCGCTGAAGAACCTGCTGCACCATGTGTGACTGAGTAAGGGTAATGAGGCGCTGTGCTCTGTCACGGGTGATCTGCAAGCCAAGGTAGCTGCGCAGTTCACCCAGGTCTGTGCACGTGTGTCTCTTCTGCAGCTCGGACTTCACGTGGGCGAGTCCAGTAGTGTCAGCAGTAGCAAAAACCAAGTCCTCAACGTACACGAGATGTAGAACGGCGGCAAAGAGGTGTCGGTGCGTAGAAACAGCGACGGGTCAGCAGTAGAAGGAGCAAACCCAAGAGCCGCAAGTGTAGTCCTCAGTGTGTCGTGCCACTCACGGGGCGCCTGGCGGAGACCGTAGACTGGCCGCCGGAGGCTCCACTAGGTACCAGGAGGAAACGACCCAGTGAAGCCGGGAGGGCAGCGCAACCAGATCTCCTCGTGCAGGCTGCCCTGTAGGAAAGCAGTGCTGAAGTCAAGAGAGTGAAGCTCGTAGTCACACTGAGCGGCTATGTGCAGCAGCACCCCAAGAGTGGTCATCTTCGGGGTGGGAGAGAACGTCTGAAAGTAGTCGGTCAACTCCCTGCCGCTGACTGAAGCCTCGAGCCACATAACGCGCCTTGAAAACAGGCGGAGAACCCGGCGGCCGCTTCACCCTCAAAATCCACATGCCACAGACGATGTTCGCCCCAGGTGGGGGAACCTCGTCAACGTAGGTGCCTGTGGACTTCCAGGAAGCCATCTCTACGTCCATGGCTGACTGCCACTAAGAGGAGTAGGGACCCTCGATCGCCTCAGCGTACGATCGAGGAGTCGAGATGACAAGTGCATCCGGGTCTCCCTCAGGGGCAATCAGCGTGGACACGAAATGTGGCAAAGCAGCAGCAAAACACTGGAACTCCTCCTGCTTGTCCTCAAGGACGTCCGTGCTAAGAGCACACTCACCCCCGACGGACGGAGGACAGAGAGACGCAGACTCAGCAACGAGACTAGCAGCGTAGTCTAGACGACAGCAAGCAGCAAAGTCGACAAGCTCAGCAACTAATGCAGACGCAGCAGTGGACCCAAAGGAAGGGTCAGTGACAACAGTAGCCAGGAGACGCGTGACAGTAGGACTCGCAACACGGAGAGAGTCAGACTGCGGGTCAGCAAGGACAGGAAGAGAGGACTCTGGAGGAGACGGCAACGGGACACGCAGAGGAGCAGTGGACGGACGTAGTGCCATCTGGTGTGTGCCTGGGACCGCAGGAGGACGCGGACGCGGGCCACGACGACTAGTGTGAGTAGCACGAACAGGCGATGTAGGACGAGACGCAGGCTCATGACGCTCAGCAAGACCTCCAGTTGGACCAGTGTAGGGAGAAGGAGCAGGCAGGGGGGAGGCCGGCTGTAGCTGTGACTGCGAGTGGACAGGCTGTGGACACTCTAAGGGAGGAGCAGGACCAGTAGAGGGCGGGAGACCAAGAACCTGCTCAAGTAGCGGAACGAAAGTACGGCCGCGGCCGTGCAGTGCCTCTTGAACCAGCAGGGACAGCACCAGTACCCCCAGCGGCAGCACCAGTATCAGGAGCACCGCCAGCGCCAACAGCGCCAACAGCGCCAACTCCAGCATCCTCAGACGCACTAGCGCGAGCAGAACCACCAGCGCCAGCAGAACCACCAGCGCCGACACCCCCAGCAGCTCCAGCTCAAGTAACTCCAACACCTCCAGCAGCACCAACTCCAGTAGGAACGGCAGCTCCAGTACCGCCAGCAGCTCCAGTAGTACCTCCAGCAGCACCCCCAGCCCAGCAGCTCCAGTAGTGCCAGTACGAGCACCTCAGGGACCAGCAGCAACAGTAGTACCTCCAGCTCGAGCAGCAAGGCTCCAGCGCCGGGAAAACCACTCGCGCAGCTCCTGCGGAGAGAGCGGCTCCCGCCTCGACGAAGCACCTCGAGAGGTCACACGAGCAGACCCAGCACCCCCAGGCTCCGCACCCCCAGGCTCAGAACCCCCAGGCTCAGCACCCCCAGACTCAGCAGTCCCAGGCTCCGCACCCCTGGACGTAGCACACCCAGGCTCCGCACCCCCAGACCCGGCACCCGCAGGCACAGCACCTTGAGCAGCACAAGAGTCAACAGTTACCTCGACAGGTTTGACTGCGTCTACCTGGGACACACCTGACGGGGCAGGACCCTGAGGGGGGAGGGGTTCTATCGGGGGAGGACCTTGCGCAAGGAAGAGCGGCGGCGGGGGGAGGGGCGCGGTGCGGTAGGGGAAGAGACGGTAGTAAGGCACCGACTCGTCAAAGGTGACGTTCTGGGAGGACAGAACGCGGCGCGAGGTGGGGTGGTAAAACTGCCACCCAGGCGCGTCAGGGGGGAAGCCAAGGAAGACGCAGGGAACAGCACGGGGGGACATCTTGTCCGCAGACAAGTCGCGGACAAACTCCTGAGATCCTCAGACCCGAAATGCAGACGCATCGCCAACCTTCCCTGTCCACCGCAAGGTGGGGGAGGTCTCTGGCAAGGAGACCCGGGGCTGAAGGTTGAGCTGATGCGCAGCGTACTGAACCGCAAACGGCCACAGAAAATGGGGGGCAGCCGCATGCATCATGGACGTACGAGCGACGTCCATGACCATGCCAATGCGGCGCTCAACAATCCCATTTTGCTGTGGAGAGGCCGGAAGCGTGAAGGTCTGACGGATGCTCTGTGCACGACTGAAGGCTCCCAGACGAGCAGAGGAAAACTCCCCGCCTTTGTCAGAGCGCAGACGCAGAACAGGAAAGTCCGAGCCGAAACTCTCCCTGAGCTGGAGACGAGCTGCGCGGATCCAGTCAATCAACACCTCAGTGACGTCACCATTGCTGCGCAAGGGGAAGACCTTGGTGTAACGCGAGTAGTCGTCAACCACCAACAGGAAGTAACGCTCGTGCCCCTGTCCACGGACGCGGGCGGGGCCCCACACGTCCATGTGAAGAGTCTGCAGCGGAGCCTCTGTCGGAGGAAACTCGGAGGAGTGAGGGGCGGCACGCTATCGCCCCTCGACGCAGGGGACGCAAGTAGGGGCAGGCCCCGGAGGTAGGGGAGGGAGAGACTGGGGAAGACCAGAGACAAGGACACGGGAGGCCATGCCTCGGAGACGAGGCAGGGAGGGGTGACCAAGGCGGTGGTGCCAAAGGAGAGTCTGGTGGGACAGGAGACGACACGAGCAGGGAGCAGACTCAGGACCAGACCTAGACGCTGCAGCAAACACCTGACTCGACGCAGCTACCTGACCAGACGCAGCAGTTGGAGGAGACTCAGTAGTAATTGTGTACAGGCTCGTCCCCGGCCGACGGGTGAACGTGGCCAAGTGTCGGCCTGTCCGAGCACACGTGCAGTGGGTCACCCGCTGACTCGCAGGAGTCAACTGGTCAACCCCCCTATCCTGTAGATCAGCTCCACTCACCAAGTTCGTAGAGAACGAGGGGAGGTAGAGACCTGACAGGGTGCCAGAGGGGGCTGCCGGGCACGGTAAGACAGTGGAGAAGCTAGCAAGGACAGGACCCCCAGAGGGGTCCACCAGGGAGACCGCAACCGGCCGACTAAGCGGCGTAAGCGTGGTGCGGTCCCGGAAGAAGGAGCGGGAAGCACCCGAGTCAAGGGTGAAGGTGTGTAAGTCCTGAGCCGACGTGGATCCCGAGAGAGCAGACTCACCAGCACCTGGGGCAGCAGACGCACTAGCACCTAGAGCAGCAGCCTCACCAGCACCTAGAGCAGCAGACTGGATACCGGGGTCAGGCGGCACACACAGGTGACAGACACCCCCTGCACTAGTAGACAATGCATACATTGCAGTGAGAATAGCATCATAGTCAAAAGCAAAGATATCTACCCTCTGCCTAAGCAGCTCCACCCAGTCGGGGAGCTCAGCGTCATCGCCAAACTCTGTACGCAAAGTGTCGCTCAGACGGGCGAAGCAGCGGGACTCTGTGTGCCCACGCGTCCCGCAAGTCTGACAAGTTCGGACACCCGTACTAATAACGTACAGGCAGCGAGCAGTTCTCAGCGACCCTCCACTCTGAGCATACCACTCACGAAGCTGCTGGGGTGAAAGAGTCTCGCGCGGACAACGCTGCTGCTGCACCAGGCCACTACAAGAAACTCCCGAACTACCCACTCCAGGACGACTCCCACTACTGCCACCCCGACAACCCCAACTGGTGTACCACTCACGAAGCTGTTGGGGGTTAGGGACTCACGCGGGCGACGCTGGAGCTGCATCCTGCCACTACAAGTAGCTGCGGAACTACTCACTCCAGGACGACTCCCACGACGGCCACCCCAACAACCCCAACTGGTGTACCACTCACGAAGCTGTTGGGGGGTGAGTGACTCACGCGGACGACGCTGGAGCTGCATCTGGCCACGCCAGGAGCAGCAGTAGCAGTAGAATGAGCAGCAGTAGTAAGAGCAGTAGTAACAGCAGTACGGGTAGGGCAGTGCTCACCAGTGGCGAGAAGGGCAGGCGTACGACGGCGGCAACGGCGATGCCGCTACCACTGTAGAGCGAGAGCTCCGCGGCAGCTGCAGGGGTGGCTGCTCCAGGGGCGGCTGCTGCAGTGGCAGCTGCTCCAAGGGCGGCTGCTGCAGTGGCGGCTGCTCCAGGGGCGGCTGCTGCAGTGGCGGCTGCTCCAGGGGCGGCTGCTGCAGTGGCGGCTGCTCCAGAGGCGGCTGCTGCAGGGTCGGCTGCTCCAGGGGCGGCCGCTGCAGCGGCGGCTGCTCCAGGGGCGGCTCCTGCAGTGGCGGCTGCTCCAGGGGCGGCTGCTACAGTGGCGGCTGCTCCAGGGGCGGCTGCTGCAGTAGTGGCTGCTCCAGGGGCGGCTGCTGCAGTGGCGGCTGCTACAGTGGCGGCTGCTCCAGGGGCGGCTGCTGCAGTGGCGGCTGCTCCAGGGGCGGCTGCTGGCGTGGTGGCTGCTCCAGGGGCGGCTCGGCTGCTGGGCGACTCGGTGGCTCGGCTGCCCGCTAGGGGCGGCGACGGGGCCGCGTAGGGAGGGGAGCGGCGACGGGGCCGCTAGGGGCGGTGACGGGGCCGCGTAGGGGCGGCTACGAGGCCGCGTAGGGGTGGCAACGGGGCCGCGTAGGGAGGGGAGCGGCGACGGGGCCACTAGGGGCGGCGATGGGGCCGCGTAGGGGCGGCGACGGGGCCGCGTAGGGGCGGCAACGGGGCCGCGTAGGGAGGTCAGCGGTGACGGGGCCGCTAGGGGCGGCGACGGGGCTGTTAAGGGCGGCGACGGGGCCGCGTAGGGGCGGCGACGGGGCCGTATAGGGGCGGCAACGGGGCCGCGTAGGGAGGGGAGCGGCTACGAGGCCGCTAGGGGCGGCGACAGGGCCGCGTAGGGGCGGCGACGGGGCCGCGTAGGGGCGGCAACGGGGCCGCGTAGGGATGTCAGCGGCGACAGGGCCGCTAGGGGCGGCGACGGGGCCGCGTAGGGGCGGCTATGGGGCCGCGTAGGGAGGGGAGCGGCTACGGGGCTGCTAGGGGCGGCGACGCGGCCGCGTAGGGGCGGCAACGGGCCCGCGTAGGGAGGGAGGCGGCAACGGGGCCGCTAGGGGCGGCGACAGGGCCGCTAGGGGCGGCGACGGAGCCGCGTAGGGGCGGCGACGGGGCCGCTAGGGGCCGCGAGGGGCCTGGAAGTGCGGCTACGGGGCCGCGAGGGGCGGCGACGGGGCCGCTGAGGGTGGCGCGAGGGGCCGTGAGAGGGGCCTCTAAGAGAGGTCGATAGAAGGGCAGCCCACAAGGCGCGCCTCGGGCAGGAGCGACTGTCGCTCCGGTCAGAGAAAAAAAAGTTTCAGTGGTGGGCCCAAAGAAGCGTTCCCACTAGGGAACCTGCTCTATACCATGTGGAGAAATGAGGAATGAATGAACTAGCAAGCAGGTGGGTACAAGTAGGAAAACCTAGAAGTGTTGTACCCCATATTGTCTAGGCGGTGCGGCGCGGACAGGCGGTGCGGCATGGCAGGCAGGCCGGCGCAGCGGCGCGCTTGGCAGGGCGGGCGCTTACCAGGGGCGGGTGCAGGGCAGGGCCGCGACTGGCAGGTAAGGCAGGGTCAGTACTGGGCGGGAGATGGGCAGGGCCGCTACGAGGTGGCGGTAGAGCAGGACCGCGACGGGGCGGCAGCAGGGCAGGGCCGCGAAGGGGCGGCGGTAGAACAGGGCTGCGAAGAGGCGGCGGTAGAACACGGGCGCGACGAGGCGGCAGCACGGCAGGGCCGCGGTTGAGCGGCTGCAGGGTAGGGCCGCGACTGGCCGGCTGCAGGGCAGGGCCGCGACGAGGCGGCGGTGGGGCAGGGCCGCGACGCGGCGGCAGCAGGGTAGGGCCGCGACTGGGCGGCTACAGGGCAGGGCCCCGACGAGGCGGTGATAGGTCAGGGCCGCAACGGGGCGGCAGCAGGGTAGGGCCGCGACGAGCGGCAGCAAGGCAGGGCCGCGACGAGCAGCAAGGCCAGGCCGCGACGGGCGGCTAGGGCGGGCCGCGAAGGGCGGTGACAGGGCAGGGCCGCGGCGGGCGGCTAGGTTAGGGCCGCGACGGGCCGCGAAAGGGCAGGGCCGCGACGGGCCGTTAGGGCAGGGCCGCTACGGGCCAGGAGGGCAGGGCCACTACGGGCCAGGAGGGCAGGGCCGTTAAGGGCCAGGAGGGCAGGGCCGCTATGGGCGGTAGTAGGGCAGGGCGTGCGATGGCGCTAGTGAGGCAGGCGCGAAGCACGCTTCGGGCAGGGCAGGAAAAAAAATCTTATCGTGGTGGGCCCTACAAAAATACTTTCCCACTAGGGAACCTGCTCTGAAACCATGTCAGAAACTAGGAACGAAGGATGACTAGAAACACAACAGTACAGGGTTTGTATATGAAAAACTAATTGGGCTGTACCCCATAAGGAGTGCCCCACTACAGCCTACAGCATAGTTCTGACATTGTTCACCTCACCTCTTCCGTCGCAGACCTAAAGCAGGAGTTCATGAGTAACCCCAAAGATCAAGTGTTGAAAGAGAAGCTGAATAAGCGGGAAAGACAGCTTAAGGAATATCATGCGTGTCGAAGAGACAGGATGCATACCATGGCGGGGGTGGAGAAGGAACTCACCAGTGATGTCCCTTCACCGCACCTGTTGGCTATGATCAAGACGCGAAGGGTTAAAACGCATATTGCTGAGCTGGCGGTACCAGGTGGTATTGTGGTGGAGCCGAAGCGGATCCTGGAAACGGCTTCAGATTGCTTTTGAGGGCTCTTCAAGGAGGACAAGCGTACGGCAGTGGCTCACTGGTCGCCAGCGGCAGGGAAGTGACTGGGGTTCGCAGATGCAGAGAGTTTGATGGAGGACTGGTCCGAAGAGGAGGTGAAGCGTGCCCTCAAGGAGATGGCGAGCAACAAAACCCAGGGGAAGGATGGGCTGCCGAAGGAGATCTTCAAGCAACACTGGGATGTCCTTGGGAAGCACTTTATGTCTTTGGCGAATGACTTCTCTGCCTCCGCCTCGCTCTCGACCAGCGTTAAAGATGCAGTCACCATCCTACTGCACAAGAAGGGCGCAAAGGATCAGTTGGAGAACTACCGCCCGATAACGCTACTAAACAACAGTTACAAAATTTTAGCACGATTCCTGGCGAGCAGAATCAAAAGAGTGTTGCATAAAGTGACATCAAAGGAACAGTTCGGTTTCATACCAAGGAGGAGGATTTCAGACGCAATCGGGCTGGTTGCCAATGTCATTGATGCGGTGAAAAACGGCAATGAGGACAGGTTCCTACTCCTTGTAGACTTCAAGAAAGCTTTTGACTCGGTTTCCCGAGATTTCATCTTCGAAGTTCTGGGGAAGATGTGCTTCCCAGCTCGTTTCATTGGCTGGGTGAAGGGGCTGCATTAGAAGACACGCACAAATTTGTTAGTAAACGGCTGGCCTGACGAAGCGGTTGAAGTAATCTTTGGTGTGCGGCAAGGCTGTCTGCTGGCGCCGTACCTGTTTCTCTATGAGGTGGAGCCGCTGGCGCAAAAAGTGGAGAAGCGAAAGATCGGAATCACACTTACCAGCTGTGTGGGGCAGAGACTAGGCTATATCAGTTACGCGGATGACACAACACTCCTGTTGCAAGGGAACAGCAAATTACCAGAGCGGAGGTGTTAAAAGAGTTCGAAGATCTCTCAAGGCTTGCAACGAACAAAGGAAAATTGGTGGTGCTTCCTTTGGGCTGCAATCTTGGCAAGCGAACCTGGCGGACTGATGGTTTCAGATGGGCCGGAGCAGATGAAGCTGAGCGCCTCCTCGGAGTTTGGATAACGCCGAGCGGTAGCTGCCAGCCGACATGGGATAAGGCAAGTCGGGAAGATGACGCTATGGCAACCACAGTACCTTCCAATCAAAGTGAGAACCGCGGTGATGGATGGGTACACCGTGCCGATTGCCTGGTTCCAAGCTCAGGTATATCCGCCACCTGCGAAGACTTGGGGGGTCATCATGAAGCTGACACACACCTTCATGTCAGCCAACAAAATCACAACGGATAAATGTTTTTTCTTGTGGAGTAAGGAGCTGCTGGTGATGGAGGGCGGTGTGGGCGCAAGAGACCCGCAAGCCATGCTCACCTGCCTTATCACTAGATGGATCGGGACGGTACTCACGGAGACGAGCCAGCTGAAACAAGAACTGCTGAAACAAGCCGCGGATCTGCCGTTGGGGCTGGACACGTTTCTGTCCCACGAGAAGCTGCTTAAAACATGGGAGGGGAAGAGTCAGCGCTGGAAACCAGTGTGTGAGAACTTCATGCTGTCTTCGCTGGCAGTAACTACAGTGGACCGCAACAAAGAAGAGGTGATGATGGAGAGGTTGGTTTTGAACAGGCATATCCTCATGAACGGCACCACTCCAGTCAGGTTGCAGCAGGCTGCTAAGCAGCTAAGGGATGTCAGCGGGTTAGAAATGCTAGGCAAAAAGTTAGAACAGGAAAGAGGGTTTGCACTAGCAGGCAATTGAGTACATATAGGAAACCCTAATCTGGGCTGTACTCGCTATAGAGTACCCCACTGCAGGCTAGACAAATATAACATTCTGACACACCCGCATAGCCAAAGTGGGGTGTGATCAGCACAACAATTAGGCATAGCAATAGTTCACAAGCACAAGTACAGCTAGAGGCATTCACAAAGGGCGAGTGAGGAGGAGGCTGGACTATGAGAGGAGAGGAGATTGGAGGCGACGGGTGAAGCTGCAGACACACGAGCAACAGGAGCGCGCACACGGTGGCTACCGGAGATTGTAGCCTCCGGACTACAGGAGTAACTGGCTCCGCGGCTAAGACGAGCGGCAGGAGCAACGGACCCACGGGCGACTGGCGTAGCAGGCTCACTGGGCTACCGGAGATTGTAGCCTCCGGACTACTGGCGCTGCTGGCGACACGACGGATACCTCCGCACACTATCCCCCACTATCGCAGACCCCCTTTCACACACCCCCTACTGCACCCCCACTCCCATGTCACCCTCCTAGCACCACTCCCTCGGCTCCCACACATCCACCCCCCTCAGCGGCAGTTGCGGCAGTGGGAGACAAAGGAGGAGGAGGTGCAAGTGGCGACGCACACACCCGCCACCCCTATACCCGTCACCCCGCAGTTGCACGAGGGCAGGAGGCGGCAGGGGCGGCTCGCGGGCTGCAGGGGCGGCTCACGTGGGCTGCAGGGGCGGTTGGCGGGCTGCAGGGGCGGTTCGCGAGCTGCAGGAGGGGCAGCGCGCGGGCCCCCGAGGGCGCCACGACGGGCGACGGGAGGGGGGCCGCGCGCAGGCCCCCGAGGGCGCCTCGACGGGCGACGGAAGGGGGCAACGCGCGGGTCCCCAGGGCGCCGCGACGAGGCGACGGGAGGGGGGGACGCGCGGGCCCCCAAGGCGCCGCGACGAGGCGACGGGAGGGGGCGGCGTGCGGGCCCCCAAGGTGTCGCGACGAGGCGACGGGAGGGGGCGACTCGCGGGCCCCCAAGGCACCGCGACGAGGCGATGGGAGG